CTCCTTTATTAAGTCAAGAATCTCAACCTTCAGCTTACTGTTTTCTTCTGTGACAGAGGAATAAGTGGCTTGGATGACCTTAAACTCTTCCCAAAATTCTGACATTGAATCAGAATTAAAAACTAAGCCTACCGAAGAAAAACTAGATGCAGAAGTAGAGGTTACCTCATCATCAGAATGAGCCATGAAGCATAGGTCTTCTGTCTCAGTATCAAGGCAACAGAAGGCCTCATCAGAGTCAGAGTTAGAACTGGAATCTGTCTCATACAAAGGGTCTTTCTCGAGCTGTTCTGTCACGAGTGCTTTCCTCCTTCTGGTATTGTCTTCATATTTCTTCTTTTCTCCATCATGCCCTTGTCTCTTGGACACTCTTGGATGTGGACACTCTGCCTTGAAATGTCCAGGTTGTCTACAGTTGTAACAGAGAAACTCTCCACTGCACTCTGTTGTTTTGACCTTCTGGAAGGGCTTTCTGCTGGATGAAGGACTTCTTCCATCTTTGGGATTCTTCATAAACTTCTTGAATCTCCTAGCAAAAGCAGCCATGTATTCGTCAGATAAAAGTTTGAGAGGTCAAAATCATTTACCTTTGATGTACTGGCTGTGAGGGCTGTGGTGGTCCTCTCTTCAGGTACATATTCCTTCTCTTCAATCATTTCAAACTCATGAGCTTTGAGATCTGAAATGAGCTTATCAGTAGGATAGGTCTTCACATCCTTGCTGGCTTGGACAGCAACCACCTCATCTTCCATGCTGAGGGCAATCCTCTCAACACTTTGAGATTGATCTCCTTGGTGGTAAGTTCCTTGCCAGTGAGAGTGAGGAGCCTGTCATACATCTTTGAGATGCTTTCACCAGGAAGGAGCTTGAAGTCATCAAACTTCTTGTTGGCTATAGTCAGCTTGTTATCCTTCTCTTGCTCATCACCAGCTCCAATGAGCTCAAGAGTATCCCAGATTTCCTTGGCAGTCTTGCACTTCTTTATCCTGTTGAAGTATCTATCATCGATGGACTTGTAAAGAATGTCTTTAGCAATGTTGTCCAGATTGTACTTCCTTCTTTCTTCAGTAGTCCACTCAGATTTTGCCTTATAGATCATCTGAGGTCTGGTGTTGTCAATAGCATGCTCTGGTTTGACTTTCTGGAAGCTTGTGAAAGGCCCAATGTCAAGTACTTCCCACATCTCATCATGCAGAGCACAGAGATGTGCCTTCATTCGGATCCTCCAGTCATCAAACTTGAGATCTGAGAACATAAGATTTTTGGAAAGGGAGTGATCCATAATATATCAGATTAAAAATGAGGTAAACAGAAAAACAAGTGGATCTTTGTTCAGCAAATAACCTAAGAGATTATTAGAACAAGGAGGCTCTGATACCACTTGTTGGTCCCGGTTGTACTGGATACAGTCTAGAGGGGGGGTGAATAGACTGTATTGGTTTTTAACTTTTTCAAGCTAAGTACCAGATTTAACAGAATAGCCTGTTCTGTTGGCAGAACAGACTGGGAGCGGATGAGGTTCTGGTAGGGGGTTCTGTTAGTTTAGCCTCAGAGAAGCAAAGGCAGTAGACCTTCTGTTAACTCACAAGACAAGTTCTGCTGAACACAGAGACCAAGTCTTTGGAGTTAAACAGTTCAAATAAAAACGATAAATAAATGCAGTAAGTAAATGACACCAGGGCTTTTTATAGTGGTTCAAGGAACAACTTGTTCATCTAGTCCACTGTTCCACTAAGCTTGCAAAAACGACCGTTTACAACGTCTTAGTCCTATCACTTAAGAAGCTCTCCACGTCTTCTTCAAGTGTAGATGTCTCCTGGGATGCACTTCCTGGCTTCCTTTAAGACTGGTCCTTTCATTGAGCTTTCCCGGAAATATCACTACTTCACTGCTCCAGGTACTTGGACGTCCTTCTTGTGAAAGAAGAGTTTCTGTTAAAAACAGGGGTTCCTCCAACTTGCTTCATTACAAAGAATTTGTAGATGAAGAGCTTGAAGAGTTGAAGAACGACTAGAACTTTGCTTGAGTTGGAAGTAAGAATCTTTCCAACGTCTGCCTTCTCTTGTAGAAGATGATGAAGATTTAATCTCAAGGAGGCTTTTTGCGTTTTTAGCGTTTGAATGTTTTGTATGCGCATTGTTGTAGCAAAGTTATCCAGTTGTTCTTCGTAGTGTATCTTTTATACTGAGGTTGTCTTCCCGTTGGAGGAGAAGGAGGACAACTGCATTAAATGAGTGAGCAGTTGACTTGACCAGTAGGACACAGCAAGGTTGGCGAGTTACTATTTTGGGATAAAGCAATCCTGACATTGCGGCCAATCATCTGCATTTACTCTACAGAGTACGGGAGGCATTAAATGTGCATTTAATGCGCGTACTGTAGCTTTTCCGTTCAAGACTCCTAGCCGTTGAAGGAATCTTCAGTTGGTTTACCGGCTTGGTGAAATTCTCTAAGTGTCAGGTCTTCTGGTGTCTTCAGCAGAGAGTCGGTCAGAGAAGTTCTTGAGCACTTCTGTTGGAGAAGGTTATCAGAGACTCTTGAGGGTTTCTGTTGCAGAAAAGTCCAACAGAGAACCAGGAGGGTTTCTGTCCGTGTAAAGGCTAACAGAGACCCAGAGGTCTTCTGTTCTGAAGCAGAGAACCAAAGGTCCTCTGTTAATACAAAGCCTATCAACGGTCTTCTGTCAGGAGGTCTTCTGTTCTGGAGGCCTTCTGTGAGTCGACTATACTAAAGAACTTTACAAGGAAAAATTCTAAACTAATAAATCAAAAGAGGGGTACTCTAAAGTCCTAATTAATATAGCATCATCAAAATCTAATTACAAATATTCCTTACAATTTTACACGTTCACAAGCAACCATACACACGTTTTAGCTCTGGAAAACACCTACAGCTCTCCGAAAAAATCCTAAATGTTTCTCCTTTATTCCCGTTCAGCGGAACTCTCGTTTGTGTGCTCAAACGTTAGTTCGTTAGCCATCGTATCCTGAGAAACGGTCGTTGCAACGCTCATAGTACCGTGGGAGGCGACGAATACGTTTTAAGGGCATCGTGCGTAGCATGAGCTCTGGCTAAACTCTATCCCATCTCTTTTTCTGTTTTTCTTTGGCTAATTAATTAATTAATTATTTTTATTAATCAATATTTCTTCGTTTTTCTGAGACACACTTAACACTTCCTTGTTGTTACTTTTTTAGCCTACTTTCTAGGGATCTTTATAAAATATTTTTTATTGTTGTAAAGTGATTTTGCCTTTATTTTGGGATCTTTATAAAATATTGTTTGGTTATAATTCATGTTAACATGTGTATAGTTTCGGGTTTGTTTTTTTATTTATGACCAATATAGTATGTCACCCGCTGATCATGAATGGGCAAGAGCGGTCCTGGTTAGGCGATGATTTATAAGTTTTGATTTTATTCGATTCAAAATAAATTAGGGATGATTTTAAGTTGACATTGATTTCCCTAAAAAAAGTACCTTACAAATCAAATTGGGATGAAACAAGTACTTGGTAGTTGGTATAAGTTTAAATATATTTAAATTACAGAATATAGTACTCCCTCCGTCCAACTAACAATGGGATAAGAGGGAGTGACACGCAAATTAATAAAAATGGTTTATGTGGTTGATATTGAATTGATAAAGTAAGAATAAAGTAAGAATGATTTAGAGCCACATAAACTTTACCAAATTTGGTATGAGACAATCTTAATGGGACGAACCGAAAAGGTAAAATGGAACAATCTTAGCGGGACAGAGGGAGTAATATTCTGGTCACTATATTGATCAAAAAACACTTCAAACTCTTAGAGCATCTCCAATGCTACAATGTGCACGGTGCACATGTGGCATGAGAGATAGCCACATAAATATTAGTAAATATATTCTTTATCTTCTTATTTGAATGGTTTTATGCAGTTTTGGTAAGTTTTTCTCCACAATGTCAAGGAGACCGTCTAGATGCTGACATTGTAGTTGACATTGCAGGGGAAAACTTAGCAAAATTGTAGTTGACATGTATCACCGGAATATCCATATTTGTAAATACGGCAATTGTTTTATTAAAGTCAAGTCAACAGCAGTGACGGACCCACTAAGGGTCCCACGGGGTCCCGGGACCCCATGGACCTAAAAAACTATATATATTATATACTTGTATATTTTAAATTAAATGTACTAAGTGATATATAAATAGTCAAAAAGATAGTATGTATGCAAAGGTATGTAGTGGATGAATCATGGATGGTAGCAGAATTGATATTGAGTTTAATTTTTCAACTGAGATCCAAGGTTCAATTCCCTCTTACGCCCATTTTTTGTTTTTTACTCCATCTAACTTTTGTTCGATTTAGGAAGAATCCGATAAACAAGAAGGGAAGGAATTGTTTCAAATTGGGTAATTTACTTATCTTCTAGTTCTTCTATTCATCTAATCATTATCCTTGATCAAATGATCATCAATATTTCTTCTCACCTTATAAAATAGGAGAATTCCACAAGAATAGTATTTCTTGATAGTAGTAAATGGGTGTATTTTATTAGAATTAGTCTTAAAATAAAATTTTAAAAGTCCATGAATTTTTAAAGTTTAAAAGTCTAGTTCTACTCAAGTAGAGGTGCTACTTTAGAGCATGTTTGATAATACTCAAATCACCTGACAAATTCTCTTGAAATTTATGAAATTCTGGTTGGAGTGATTGGATTGACCGATTCTACTGATCTATGAATAAAATATTTAAAATATATTTTACTAATAAAATAAAGAAAAAATTATATGAAAGATAACTAAAATAATTTTATACACTAACTTCAGTCAATACAGCTAAAAAGGTAACTTTAATCTTATTTTTTCTTATTATTATACAATTCAGCGCGCAAAATCAAAGGTTACGTGTTTTGTGAATAAGTTGGCTGATAAGTTTGATAAACCGAAAAACAAGGTCAACAAAGGAACTCTTAATATTTTACTTTTTTTTTATTATTAATTACATTAAGGTAGGGACTCCATCACCCTGATTTTCTGGGTCCGCCACTGGTCAACAGGCTCTGCGCTTACTCCGGTTTATGTGTAGCGGCAATACCCAACTGTCCAAGTACAGTTTTGAAAAGCCACAGGTCGGTAATTTTTCTGTTCCCATCGCATATTTCTTCTTTTAGGTTTCCTCTTTAGTCTTTGCTGTTGCATTTCTCACTCAATGGGTTGAACTTATTGTTACTGTGCGAAGTTCTCTAAGAAAATTAATCGAGTTTGCGGTTTGATTACCCCTGCCCAGGCCAAGATGGTACTGGCCTGGGATTGTTTTTTCCTGCCACCATTGTTGTGTTTTTAAAGGTTTGTGTTCTTCAAACGTGTTACTTTTCTTGTTGTAAAAAGCACCAAATTCCACACCAAAATCTTACACCATTTTGGTGCAGAGGCCAGAAGTTCACTGGTAAGCCAAATCCCACATCATCTTCTTTTTTTAATTATTTTTATTTAAAAAGTGACCCAAAGTTTTGATAGTTATAGTTTTGACCCATTTTTAAAACAACAAATTAGGATGTTTTTACTTGGACTCAAATTTGATGGTCTGATGTCGTCTGTTCTGAACTGATATGGTCAGGTTCAATTTCTTTATATTTTTTTAACTACCCAAGTTTGGTCTAATCCGGTCTGATCTGATCTGGGACAAATTACAGTCCAAGTAAAAACATCCTTATAATTTGATAGAAAATAAAAAAAATATAATAAAATTTAAAGCACGCAATATTATAAATAAAGTTTCAAATCCGAACAACATAATAACACAATATAAATGATACTTAAGAAAATTACATAATTAAAATTACAATTAATAACACCATTATAATTAAAATTGAAACATAATTAAAACAAACATAGTACATACTAATTTAGAAATTAGTAGTCATTCAACCCGCTTCCAGACCCTCCAAGACCATCAAATAGATTTCCAAATCCAGCTGATGATCCTCCTTGAGATTTTTTTTGTAAAATTCTTGATCTTTCTACAATGATATACGCTCACGTTTGTGGATCGTGAATAGAATTCAAATCCATGAACATATTTTTATCTTCTCTTTTCTGTTCTTTATATGCCATATTTTGTCGCTGGATTTGTAATTGTTTCTGTCGATCTATCGACGATTTCTTCAACATCTCTATAAGTTGCTCATTGTCTCTCTTAACTGACTTAAGTAAAACTACAATGTCTTCATCGTTTTTCTTCTTCAATTTTGCTTTTTCTACCCCTATTGGTCATTTTGAAAAATCTGACCCGGAATCAGTGTCAACTTCTTTATTAAACGAAGATGACAATCCAGGTTTTTGGCATGAGACAAGAAGCATGTAGGAAAAGGTTTCCAGGTTCTTTATCTGACCCGGAAAAATCTTACCACAAGGTAGGAAAAAGAAATAGTTTGTCGTGAGACAAGAAGCATGTAGGAAAGATGTTGAACGTGCCTTTGGAGTATCGCAATCCTGATTTGCAATTACCGCAGGACCTTCACGCTTTTGGGAGAAAAAAGTCTTACACGACATAATGAGTGCATGTATTATTATGCATAATATGATAATAGAAAATGAACGTGATATCCCGATTTGCCCAAAAGGGCTTGTTGCCACTCTGCCTACTGCATTGGTATCTACAAGGGAGGAGGATCAGCCTAAAAATATCCAAACTAAAGAAAAATGGATACAGAAGACCTCAATGATACAACCAGAATTACAAAGAAAATTTTCAGCTCAAGAGAAAGGTAAAGCAAAAGTAGGGGAACATGAAAACATCAATACTTCAATGGCCATTGTGTTACACCATTCAGAGAAGCAGTCTTCATCTAAAAATGTAGTCAGTCAGTACATTGAGCCTTCCAGTTATGATGAAATTGATGAAGAATTAATTATGGAAGATCCACCTGCACAAACAACCAAGTTACAAGGTCAGACACCTGTTAAAGATGATATTTCTATGCAGGATATATATAAGTTACTTGACTTTGATCAGGAGATGACAAATAAAGCATATTATTCTGATGATGAGAAGAGGAAAATGCATTTTATTCAAAACATATGGGATAATTGGGAGGACATCAAATCCAGGGCAGATAACACGATTAAGCAAAAGCAATTACAAGTTGAAAAGGGATATCCTCTCATTCCAGATCCCTCAAATCATCAACCAATGGAGGATGGAAGTTCAGCCAGGGAGGTTCAATTACATAAGATGGAGAGTGAGGAATTTCATCAGACTCAGATTAATCATCTTGAGAAGATTCTTCCCTGCACTTCACAATCTGTAAATGATGAACAAGATAATCAGTTTGGTAAATCAGAGGATGAGAAAGGGAGTTTATTGAGGTGTGCAGAAAAAACAATAAAAAGAAGTTACCAGATAAAGAAGCACCCTCAAGGAGGATGACTAGAAGTGTGACTAAGGAGGTTGGGGACAGGCCTTTCAAATGAATTGGCTCATATGGAATTCTAGGGGTCTAGAGGCCTCCAGCTCTAGACTTTAGTCCCTAGTTTCTCAATGGAGGTTGCAGCTGATTGTTATTATTGAGCCTATTGTTCAGGACAATAAGGCAGATTATTATAAGCATAAATTGGGTTTTTCTAATGTTATGGTTTCTTCTATCAACAAAATATGGGTGTTTTGGGATAGCTCTGTTATGGATTTATCTCAGTTTTATTGCCATCCTCAGCTTACTCATTTCAAGGTGAAAAGTCAGGTTTTTGAAGGCTGGGTGACTGCAATATATGGTGCCCACACCTATATTGGAAGAAGGGATCTTTGGAAGGGTCTGATTGTCATTTCTTCTAATATGTCAGAACCTTGGGTAGTAGGGGGAGACTTTAATGCCATTGCTAGCTAAAGTGAACATAATGGAAACTCTACCCCTATTATTAGAGACATCAATGACTTCAATGAGTGTATGGCTTCTAGTAATCTTCTTGATATCCCTCATAATGGACCTAAATTTACTTGGGCAGGTGTGAGAGCTAATGGTTGGGTGTGGAGAAGACTGAACATAATTTTACTAAATTCAGCTTTCTTGGATAAGTTTGATAAAACTCAGATTTCTATTTTGACCAAAACCCCCTCTGACCATAATCCCTTGCTACTGCAGTCTGTAAATCAGAATATCTCTGGACCTAAACCTTTTAGGTTCCAGAACATGTGGCTCTCTCACTCTGGTTTTATGGAGTTTGTCTCTCAAAAGTGGGTTTCCTATTTTACAGGGGGAGGTATGAGGGGTCTTATTTTCAAACTTCAGAGTCTTAAGAAGGATCTGAAAGAATGGAACATAAGTGTTTCTGGAAACATTTTTTCAGATATTAAAAAATGTGAAGAAGAGGTGTTGGTTGCTGAAAAACTCTTTGAAGATCAGCCAAATGGGGGTACTAGAGAAGACTTGGCTTATAAAACGGGTTTGCTACTTATGAAATATAGATTGGAGAGGAATTTTTGGAAACAAAAGGCCAACATAAAGTGGATTAAAGAGGGGGATTCTAATACCTAGTTTTTCCATTCTTATGTGAAGGTTAGAAACAAAATGCAGAGTATTACCTCTATTAATAACTCCCAAGGGAAGACTATGACTGAGCAGCAAGATATTGGCAAGGCTGCAGTTGAATTCTTCACTGATCTGTTTGCTAGAAGCCCTGTGAGTGATTCTAGTGAGATCCTGCACAATATCCCTTCTCTTATTACCAATGAGGATAACAACAGGCTGATTACTTTACTAAATTTGGATGAGGTCAAAGAGGCTATCTGGGATTTAAATCAGAATAGTGCAGGAGGGCCTGATGGTTATAATGACAAATTTTTCAAAAAGTGTTGGCAGGTGGTTAAACAGGATGTTCTTATGGCTGTCCAGGAGTTTTTCATGGGGCATCATATTCCTAAAGGGATGTCTAGTGCTTTGATCATTCTCATTCCTAAAAAAGACAAACCTAATTCTTTTGCTGACTTTAGACCAATCTGTTTATCCAATTTTATTTGCAAGATTTGCACTAAAATTATGGCTAATAGAGTGTCTTATATTTTACCCAAAATTATATCAAGAGAGCAGGCATGTTTTATGCAGAAAAGAGATATCTTTGAACAAATTCTTATTGCCCAAGAAATGGTGCATAATATTGACAGAAAGGTCAGGGGGTCCAACATGATCATCAAACTGGACATGAAAAAGGCTTTTGATAGAGTTTCTTGGGATTTCCTTAATGATATTATGCTGAAGTTTGGTTTCTGTAGTCATTTTGTCCAGTTGGTTATGAATAATCTCAAATCTACCTACTTTTCTATTCTGGTAAATGGCTCTCCACAAGGTTTCTTTAAGCCTTTTAAGGGTGTTAAACAAGGGGACCCTCTCTCTCATTTCCTTTTTCTTATTGCCTCTGAAGCTTTTTCTAGGGGGATTAATAAGCTTTATCAGGATGGCAAAATTCAATCATACTGGATGGGAAGGCAAGGTTTCTCTATTTCTCATCTGGGCTTTGCAGATGATTTGCTTATTTTCTTAAATGGTGAATCAAGATCATTATTGAATTTTAAGAATTCTTGGAGGATTATCAAAATGTTTCTGGTCAGCTAATTAATTTTAGCAAGATGTCTTTTGTTTGTGGCAAAACTGTACCTGGCAGACTTAGCAGTATCAAAAATCTTCTTGGCATGAATCAGGCATCTCTTCCCATCAAATATCTTAGGGCTCATCTGCACAAGGGCATTAATAGGATTGAATACTGTGAGTCTATTATCAACCATTTCGAGAAGAAATTATCCCCTTGGAAACAAAAGTTGTTATCCCAAGGGGGAGACTGGTTCTGATTAAATATGTGCTTAATACTTTGCCTCTTCACATTTTGGCTTTTGATACTTTACCTAGGAAAGTTATCAGAATTTTAAATAGTAAGATGGCTTCTTTTTTCTGGGGCACTAATGATGTTAAAAAGAAATACCACTGGGCTAATTGGGATAGTCTATGATACCCTACAGAGGAAGGGGACTTAGGCATCAGGTCTTTAGTTTCTATTCAAAAAGCTTTTGACTTTAAAATGTGGTGGAAATGGAAAACTGGTGATTCTCTTTGGGCAAATTTTATCAGAGATAGATATAGAAGGGATGTGAGTATGTTACCCAAAGTCTATGACTCTTCAGTCTGGAGAAGAATTTATGATTCTCATGAGGAAGCTGCTTCATTATTTTCTGTTGATAATACATCTGGGATGAATAAATCAAAGGTCAGTTCACTTTTAAATCAGCATATGAAGCAGTTAGACCTATTCAGGATATCCATGTTTGGCATCCTCAGCAAGAGCTTAACATGAAATTACTTCAGTGGAAAATTATTAAAGGCCTGATTCCTACTTCTGACAATCTCAGGAGATTTAATATGGTCCTTGAACTCTCTATGTGTGTGCTGTGCAGAAAACACTCTGATAATCTTGAACACCTTTTTTATCAGTGTGATATTGTTAAGCCTGTTTGGCATTACTTTATGAAGATTTTTGGAATCCCTATACCCCAGAGTGAGAATATTCGTACTATTTTCAAAAATTGGTGGTTGAAGGCTGGTCAGAAAAGTGTTATGGATATTTTTAAACATAATATGCCTTGAATTATATGTTGGCTAATGTGGAAATCTTACGCTAAATTGGTTTGGGGTAAAGAAAATATTCAGATTTCTCCTCACAGTCTCATATCTCAAACTAAGTCATATACGCGCAATTGGGCATGGTCTTTCCCTAGACTTAAGAACCCCTCAGTTTACAGTATTTTGAAGGAGGAAGAGGTGGTTTCACCTGATTTTAAAGCTAGGGGTTATGTTATTCAAATTATTCGTTGGAGGAAACCGAATAATAACTTGAAATTAAATGTGGATGCAAGATACTCATTTGTTGGTGTTTCAGGTGGTGGTATTCATCGCAACTCCGAGGGGAAGATGCTCTGGGCTATCATCTTTGCGCTTTCTGCGTCTTCTCTGGTGGAAGCGGAGCTTAGGGTTATGAATGAAGTTGTTCGATGTGCAGTGGATGATGGATATTCTGGGTTTCAGGTTGAATCTGATTCGAAAATGGCACTGGCGTTACTGAGTGAAGATGATGCTAGGTGTTGGTCGGATGTTATTCAGGAAACCAAGCTTATTGCAAAGAGGAAAGGGTTTTGTTTTGGTCATGTTATGCGGGAAACAAACTGGGTAGCCCATTTTTTAGCGATGAATCATATGGGCCTTAGAAAATGATATGCAGGCCCATCGACACTTCCTATTAGGGCTAGGAGGGCCTATCATATGGACTTATTTGGAATCCCTTCCATTAGATGTTAGTTTTTTCTTCGTTTTGTTTTCATCAATTGGGTCAGGTCTAGCCCCCCCCCCCCAATTGCTGATTTTTTGTATTTGATGTTCTCTCTGTATTTTTGGGAGGAATGCCTCCTGGAAAGGTTTTGGCCTAGTCCCCCTTTCCGGTGTACTTGTTTTTTTATTATTAATAAAATCTGTTGGATGTTCCCCGGCATCTACCCCACTGATTTTGGGTCCCGACAGAATTAATCCGTCGCAAATACGCGTGACGGAATTAGCTATAGATATAAGATGTAGCTACTTTGCAATGATAACTTTCAGTTGCTATCCCGTCACACATGTCCTGTCAACCATGGTTAACACAAATACTACTAGCAACAATGAATTACTTTTCCGTAGCTAAATCTGTCGTTATTATGCGGTTTTAACCATGGTTAAATGCTACAACGGAATTAATTTCTATCGTCATATCCATCGCAAATTACTAGGAATTTCAATCATATTTTCGGTTGCAAAAGAAATGTTTATTATCATTGCAAATTATAGTCCTATAAAAATAGAAATCTATAATTAAAATTCTAATGTAATTACATTGAATTGTGAAACAAATAATGAAATACTCACATTCATCGCAAAAAGGTTGTAATTGAAATACAATAGTTTACTAAAAATGCATCAGCAAATCAATGTTGTTGAAGGTAAATCCCGTAGATCCGAAAGCCCAACACGAACTTTGGATATATCAGGAATGGTACAGAATCAAAGTGTATAACCAAAATATAAAATATGAACTCACTAATACTCGAAAGCTCACTTGTATTAATTAACCAGTCTGATTACAAGGAAATTCCCGATCGGTAGGTCGGAAACAATGCTTTAATACAAGAAATAAGAGCAATAATGCTATTCTAGAGCCTGAGTATTGAAATGCTAACCCTTACAATGATTTTAAACCTTCTATTTATACTAATGGAGAGCATGGGCTGCTCTATGCTGATTGGCTATTGTTCCACCGACTTGGTCACCCACGTTTCCACTTGCTGATGTCACAATCTGGCATTAATTGCACCTGGCCACTTGCCGGTTGTCCGTTGCTCGAACGGGATGTTGGACCATGCCGAAGACGATGTCAAATTGGCCCAAGTATGATATATAGTCCGAACTCCGTTCGGTATACCTTCTTGCTGGGCCAACCCTTTCTTGGGCCGAATCTCGTTCGACATGAATTCTTCACTGGATCTACTCATCATAGAGTGATGGGCTCGTCATTTGGGTCGGGTATCTTGGGCCTTCTTGATCCGGGTATTGGGCCTCTGGATCAATATCCCAACACAAGTCCCCCACTTCCGATGTCTCGAATGACAGTGAGTGCATTAGGAAGTATGAATACCAATGTTGCAATTCGCCGAATGGAGATCGGGGTACAGAAGTAGTAAGTACCCCATGCTGTGATTTGACGGCCGTCGTTTCATTTCCCCATATTCATCATGGTAACCGTCGTTTAGTCTTTTCATTAGACACGCGTTTAGCTTAAATGCTCCTAGTGACGTGTTGCCCCCTGATTGGTCCTTGACACGGCGGTTTCAAGGCTATAAATTAGCCTTTAACTTCTCAAATCCGGGTTTCGATTCTGCAATTCTCTTCGCCTTGCCGTTTTCTGAAATTTCTCCCAGGCCTTGTCGCTCAGGTACTCTCCCTCCCTTGCTTTCTCGCCCCATCTCTGACTCGGTCGAGATGAATTCCCAACAGTGTTCTAATTCAGAAATGGCTTCTCAAGGGGAGGACCGTGATGTGGAGATTATCACCGTCCCATTAGATGAAGGTTCCAAGGTAACGACGGCGGAGGTTAGGGCGGAGACGGGCGACTCCTCTGGCAGTTCTTCTTCCTCCAGTGAAGATTCCGACGATACCAAGTCCGAGGACGAATTAGCTTCCATGGCGGCCGGACGTCCCAACGATTTCCCTCGCCTTACCCTTGACTTAAAACTGATTAGGGAGAGGCAGCAAAAACTGACCTCCCACAATAGGGCCGAAATTCCGGCCCTTATCCCTGACCCAGTGAATTTCCGTCTGCAAACTGGGCTTCACCCAATGCGTCATAGGCCCGGAATGATTGTAGTTCATTTTGACTCAATTAGGGCCGGCCTTAGGTTTCCGCTACATTCTTTTTTCATTTCATTTTTCAATTTCTATGAAGTTGTACCGGCCCAAATTATGCCGAACTCCTATCGGGCAATGGCGGGTTTTATTTTCCGTTGTAAAGATGTCGGTGCCCGACCAACCTTAGAACTCTTCCATCAATTTTTCAAGGTAGCCCCTCAACAAACCCACGGCTATCTGGCCACTAGTGCCCGAACGGGACATATTCTGTTCAAGGGCAATCCAACTTCAATCAAGGGGTGGAAAGACCGGTTTTTCTTCGTGTCTGTCCCGGACGGCCTAGTTCCCCGCAAATGGAATGCCTTCCCCCGCAAGACTCCTGATCCAGTCCTTACTGAAGAAATTTACAAGGACATGCTTGCTGTGGAGAAAGATAAATGCATGGACATCATGAGTTATCTAACTCCCGATCGGCTCGTTGAACCCGGGATAGGTACTGCCCGTTCTCTTGGGTTTACTTGTTTTGAGAAATCAAGTGCCATGGTCCAGGCGGTCCTTCCCGTGCGAGAAACGTTCTTTTTTTCTTTTTTCTAGTTTCTCACACGCTAAGGCCGCTCGATACTAACATCTTCCTTTGTTATTTTTCAGCACCAAATCCAGATATACCCATGGATAGTAGCAGAGTTCTGGCAGCTGGTGGGGTTGGTAAACGGAAAAAGGCCAGGAAGAACCCCCAACCTACTCCCTCTACTGTTACTGCTCAGGATGCTGGGTCTTCTCAACCAGTTCCAGAGCCACAGCCAATACAGCAGGTCCATCAGGACCAATTCGATGCCATGCTGGTCGATGATCGGTTTGGCTCTGATCAACTGCAACAATTTCCCGAGCACTTCCAAGCTGCTCAAGAAACCGGTCAGGGTGCGGGTGATATACCCACCGTCCAGTTGTCTGGCCAGGTTGACCGAATCTTTCTGGCGGATCCGGTTCATGATGTTGTAGAAAGAGGTGGCTGCTCAGCAAGCCAGATTTGGTCTACCTTTGCCTTCTTTAACAATTTCACTGTCCCCAAGCTGTCGGTCGAGCAATCTGAGGAATGCTTGGCCTTGGCAGCTCTGAAGGTATCTTGCCATTTCATAGTTTAAATTTCTCATAGTTCAAAATTTTCTTTCACCATCTCATTTCCCGAACGTCATTCTGCAGGTTGGGCTTTACAGCCAGCAGCTGAAGGAAGCTCGACTGGCTAAGGAGCGGGAGCTGATCGTTGCTCAGACTTCCGCGGAGCAGAATGCAGCAGCTGCTTTTGCTGCTCTGGAGGCCGAGCGGAAAGCCTATGCAGAGGAGAAAAAGCGTCTTGAATCGGAGCTTGGCGAGCTCCGGGTTCAGCTCGGGGTCTCTCAATCCAAGGTTCATGCTGCCGAAGCTGCCTTGGTTAAATTTGAAGAGCACGCCCCTCATATCCCGGACGGCCCTGCTGAAATACAGGTTGATTTGTCTGCCGTCCGGGAGTCATTCAAAGGGTCTGAGGAGTTCGCTATCTTAAAAAAAGATTATGCACAGCAGCAACTCCCAGTCACCTTTGGTGATTACCTTGAGCGTTTCTCCACGGGTGACGCCCGTCGGATCGAGGGGGTGAAATTGCTCGACCAGGACTCAAGGGGGAAAAAGTTCAATGATTCCCTAGCCCGATCCCTGTACGTCATGGGCTGTCAGCACATCATGGCTCCCTTCGTCACCAAATTTCAAGAATTACTAGGGAGGCCGGTCGAGCTAGCTGATCTTCCCCAAGCGCCCATAGTTGAAGCCCAATACGAGAAGTATCAACGGGACTTACAACGGGCTGCTGATCGTGCAGCGGGGAAGGAGCCTGATCCCCCCACTGATTCGGATGAGGAGGAGGGTGACGAAGAAGACAATAGGACAGAGCAGTAGATTAGAATCTAGTAATTTTAGCAACTGTAATCCCTTTCCCCCTTTTCCTCTTTCCTTGCAAACCTTATCTGTATTTCCCGGCCAATAGAGCCGATGAATATATATCTCTTTTTTGTACAATGCTCTATATATTGTCTTTTTTGCCTTTACTGAATGATTTACTCGCCATTCGGGATTCGGTCCGTTTTGTATTACTTGTACAATGCTTTATATATTACTGAATATATATCTCTTTTTTTAACTCAATACTCCTAACATCGTATGTTTGCCGCTCGGGCTTCTGTTCATTTTTTAGGACTTGGCAGTTTTTTCTGGCTTCAGATGTTTCTGATAATCTACCCGCACTTGGCTTCCTTCATATGGTGGTAGCCGTTCGGGCTTCTGTTCATTTTTTAGGACTTGGCAGTTTTTTCTGGCTTCAGATGTTTCTGATAATCTACCCGCACTTGGCTTCCTTCATACGTTGGTAGCCGTTCGGGCTTCAGATCATTTTTTAGGACTTGACAGTTTTTTCTGGCTTCAGATGTCTCTGATAATCTACCCGCACTTGGCTTCCTTCATATGTTGGTAGCCGTTCGGGCTTCAGATCATTTTTTAGGACAACAGTTTTTCTAACCAGCAAGTCCCTGTGATCTTTGCTAATTCTCTGCGAGCCCGTTCGTCACTCGGTAATCCGCGATCTGAGTAGTTTTTAGCCATTCCTATGGACCTCGTTGCTTTTTTTGTGTGAAAAGATTTGCCTCAAAACGTAAGTGCTCGTTAGACGTTCGTTTGCCTGGTTAACCAGTAATCGCAATCATATTTCTTTATTGCCCGTTCGGGGTACGTGCCCAAAGATGAACCATAAATACCCCTGATTAATCATAACCACTTAATGCCACGTGTTGCTCATGGATTAGGGTTTTGTGCGGCACTTTCCCTGTTTATAGAGAGGTGCTTTCCCCTCATTTCTCTTGTTGTTTCCTCATTTTTCCTTCTAAGCTCATAATTCTCTTGCGTATTTTCAAACTTTCTCTCTCTAGAA